ATAATCACGGTTCTAGCTAGCAATTATTTACAGCGTCACGGAGGGATGATTTAGCGGCGTATGCATGGGTGTCTCGCGCGTCGAAGAAGCGTTTTGCCTCGGTGTCCGGGTCTGAAAAATTGTGTACGCGGAGTGGCGAAGACAGGAAGCGAGAGGGAAGCGTTGAAATATGCGCGGAACATCGGGCCATTCTTCGGAGGAATTTAAATTCTTCCCGGGACCCTCTGCCCCGTCCGATAGCCGCGCGGGAAGGAGTCCTCAATAGGGCGACGAGGCACGGAAATCTCGGGGAGTGCTTTTTACACGCAAATTAGGTCTATTAGGAGCATCGAGCGTACAAAAACACTCGTGCCGTAGCATCACTCTGTCCCTCGATGCGTGAGCCTCCCCGCCCTGGTTACGCACGTGCGTGCTTCTTTATGAATTATTAGAATTAATGACACCGCACGCATCGCCTCGCACCACAGGGCGTCGCGTCGTCCAATTGCAAGTACCAACGGGGATCCGCTTCAAAAGGAAGGAAGACTTCGAGCACCCGAAGGGTCTTGCGCTCCTTGTCCTACGTAAAAAACCGCTCAAAAAGTCAATTCCTGAACGTAAGCCACGACGCTTCAACCCTCGAACTTTAAGCCGGAAGCATCAACCGAATCGAGCATGACTACTGGATGACTTTTGGTGCCTTGAACTCTTGACTTTATTCAGAAAGAACATTGGAATTCCTTATAGTAGCAAATTTGATCCTATATACCATTCTTTTCAAATAAATAAATATACGCGTGATGCAGACGGTCCTTGAATAAATATTCACATTTTTGTTTACCTTCTACACCGAAAAATACAATTTTAATAAATAATTGGTGACCGTGTGGGGTAGTGAAACTGGAGCCAAACAATTTCTACAATTCGATCTGCATTGAAGAGGATTTCTGATTTTAATACCTAACACAGTTTTTCCTTTATATTAAAGACAATAATCTTCGAGCTCAACGATCAAAGAACGCAAATGGATCTCCGGACGATCGAGCCTGAACGTCCAAGCTGATCGAATAAAACGCGAAAAAGAATGAATCGCCGAGCAAGCAAGAAACTAAAACGGACTTCCTATTTACCGGAAATTGTTTAATCAAACACGAGGGGACGCGTGTGTCGACGATTAATACGCGATATCGCGTCGAGCACGGAACCGGGTGGGAAACACTCGATTCACATTTGACGCTCGAAGACGGTGGCGTAACTTGCTTAGCGGCGGTGATTCGTGAGTCGATAATCGATGGAGGGCGCCGGATGGAAAATAGAGAAGCAAGGCTACAAAGCGAGCTGGAAGTGGGTAAGTTGTCGAGCGAAATGTTATCGCGCGCCGGATCGTCGGCAGGGGTTGAATCGGGTAAAAGGGAGCTGAATGGGGCTGCAAACGGGGGTTGACGAGCCGAGGGAAAAGGAGAACAGAGACAGAGTATAAACGCGGAGGAACGAGGAGAAATGTGGAAGGATTTAAGAAGGGGAGAGCATCGATTACTTTTCTTGACCTGGACAATATCCGTGTTTCCTCCTCTATTACTCATGACCACCGCACGCTTCTGCCACCCTACGTTCTTTTCTCGACCACCACAATTCATCCAAGATTGTTACGACATCTCTTGACCACACGTAAACTCTACGATTTTCTATAATACTATGCAACTTAAAATTTATCTCGATACGATCCTACCAAAATTTATTTTCTTCGATATTTCTATTTGAGAATTTTTTTAGCTCCTAAAGTGAAGATATCATAGTTCGTAATTTTTCAATAAACTCTTACTATTTTCTACAATACTATACAACTTAATATTTGTCTTGATACGATCCTACAAAAATTTATTTTCTTCGATGTTTTTACTTGAGAATTTGTTTAGCTTCTAAATTCAAGATGCTATAGTTCGTGATTTTTGTATAAACTCGTACAATTTTCTGCACTCCGCAATTTAAAATTTGTCTCGATACGATCGTATCAAAATTTATTTTCTTCGATGTTTCTACTTGAGAATTTGTTTAGCTTCCAAATTCAAGATGCTATAGTTCGTGATTTTTGTATAAACTCGTATAATTTCTGCACTACGCAACTTAAAATTTGTCTCGATACGATCCTATTAAAATTTATTTTCTTCAACGTTTCTAGTTAAGAATTGTTTTAGATTTTTCTATAAAATCGTACAGTCGAATGCTAATAGGTGAAACTTTGAGAACAATAGGTGCTCGATTAGGATCGAGGAGAGGGTGTGACCTTCCAACGTTAAAAATTCTGCGAACGCGTTGCTCGGTACGCAACTCGGAAGTCAGTCTCATGATTAATGACGCTGTTATGCAACGAAGCTACACAGGAAACTGAAAATTTGCACGTTAGACTAAAACACTCGAGGCTGCCAAATGCTAGTTAGAATTTGTTTCTATCCTCGTTACTCGAGTGACGAGGCCTCGTTCATCGAATCCTTCTCCACATATTCTACAAGTGTTGAACAAACGTTCAAAAAGAAATGGATTTCGCAAGGAATCGTGCAACTCGTCCGAATCCAACGACTACAAATTACGTTTACGTGTTTTAAAAACAAACGGACTTTCAAATAAAATCGAGAGTATCTTTCGATTGGTTCTCAGGATCTATCAATTTACGCGGGTGGCGACCTCGGATAAGAAAAGCTAGCCGGAGCTTTCCGTTTCCTTTCCCCGGCTAGCGTTCCAACGATATCGCGAGTCGAGTGCTTCCTTTGGGATTTTCCGCCTTCGACTCTCCATCAACCGCCACTTTCCTCCTCTCTTTCTCCCTTCCGCTTTCGAGTCCAGCAAAGCGGCACTCTCTGCCCCCGTTCCTCCCTCTTTCTCTCTCTCTTTCGTCCGACTGGCCATGGTCCCGAGGCGGCAAGCAAAGAACTCTCCTACCCTCCGGGTTGCTCGCACTGATTTTCCACCCTTCTCGTTCCACCGATACGCCCCGTCGACCCCCCGGTTTCCGTACACCTTCGTCCACCCCCCCTGTGCTTGTCCGCCCTCAACCCCCGCGGCGTCACTGGTAGTCACGCTGCCAACACGTGCTCCTATTTACCTCTCTGATCACATGGTCCGGGACGCGGCGCGGCGCGGTCGGGTTCACTGACGGTGTCATTTCATCGAAAATACCTGGGACGCGTATGCGCGTTGGTTAATTGGTTTCATGACGAGTGCGTGCGTGCTCGACACGCGGCGCGGCTACTTCGCGGACGATTTAGATCGAACGATACCGCCTTCTTTTATGCGGGCTTAAGTCATTTGTTAGCCACCTCGAGCGACAGAACCGGCCAAACAAATTGAATGCCGCCAGCCTTTCGAAATGCTCCGCATTAATTTCGCGGCCGGAACTGTATAAACCATGGGTATTTCAATTCTTGCAGGTGCCGGGGCCAACGTGCTAACGAACCTCACAATTTATCTCTCGCGACTACGGGGATAGCGTTTCCGTTTTACACCTTGCGTCTTCGAACACATTCGGCAAAGAAATTTGATGAAATTTCTTAACGCTGTACAAAGACAGAATTTTACTTTTTCAAGACAAGATTCACCGAAGCTACACGAATCTACCCTTGCTTGCAAAGTTACTTTTTTATCCTTCCTGTAAAAGGAGTTACGACTGTCGGGTGCTTCGCGAATCTGTTCGCCATTTAATCCCCGGCTACGGAGCATCGCGTAGCTTGTTCACGGTGGCATTTCGACCCGCGATTCCACGAGAACGTCACGTTTATGAGGCACGATCCGAGCGGGGACTGTCGTCCCTCTTCGTCAACGCAATCGATCCCGTGAACGGCGAAGGTTAAGAACCCTCTGTTGCGTTCGCCGGCACGGACGATCCTTCAATTAGCATTTTCAGGCCGCGCTCGACGCGTACGCGCACGCCGATCGCGCATAATTATCACCCTAATTATTGGAATGCAGCTAAGTAGCCGCAGGGAATTATCACCGGATTCGGGACGAAACCGAGACGCGAAACCCGACGCCGGTTTCAATCTCTCGCTACCAGACATTCCCGCGCGGCCCGGCCCCGGAGTAACTTTCTTAATTACTGAGATTAACTTAATGGTATCGGAGCAACGATTATCGCTCGCGAGCCTCGCAATTGCCGACCAGATATAAATACACGCCGTACCGACATTCCGAATTTTGATGGAAACTTCTTAACGCCTCGCAGGATAAACCCTGGCCTATTATTCTACGGGCTGGCAGACAAATAAAGTACTTTCGTTCGTCAACGTATCGTTCTCCATCACTTCTGAACTATTTCTCGAGGTTCACCGATTACGTTCTTTCGCTTGTGACTTTTCGATAGAACGGTTTTTAATTTATTTTTCGGAGTTATATTTACGACAACGTGTACTGGCGTTTTAAAGGAACGTGGTGATGGAAGAGTTTGTCAAAAGGACACGAATGTTTTGTTAAATTGCTAGGATCTAAGAGAATTGTTTCGACAGCACTTTTGACAGATAAAATTTGCAACTCGTGGATTTGTAATATTCTCGCGTGACACTCTTTCAATCTCGTTCTGTACATTATGCTTTTCGATTATTGGCTTCCACGTGCAACGAGAGATACAAAGACTGCTGGAAGGCACCATAAAAAATGCTGAATGTCTATCGGTCACGCAAGTCCACTTACAGTCGTCGAATGTGATACAAAATGGCAAAGTAATCATGGCGCGCTGTTTGTAGACCCGTCTATGTTTACACGGATGTAATTTTAATACGTACTATAACGAAGGAATTTTTGTATCAATTAATACTAGACACGTTGACAGTTGCATTAAAATACGATTTTTATTTACTTAGGATATTTATGCGTTCTAAAACCCCTCTAATTGTTCCGTAAATCTCTAATTATATTTCCTACTTTTTAACGTCAATATCGTTAAATAAGTTATAATAAGAACGTCTTTTGTTTTAAAGCGAACGTTCGACGAATCGTTCGAATTAGACGTAAGCGATGGATTCGGTACTCACCAAAGGAGATTTGTGACAGGTGTACGTGGGCCGTCGTCCTGACGTGGATTGCACCGACAGCTATTATGTATTTAGCACGTTGCCAGCCGGTCGATGGAACCGAATCTCGATCCCAGCGTCAGCGGACCCGCGTTGCGTAACTCCTTTCTTTCACGATTCCCCGCAAACTTTCCAACGGCGATCGACAACGGACAGTTCCGATGGCGGCGTTGTACCGACGACGACGGACACACGATTCACAAATACATCGGCCGCCGGTGACATCAGCCTACTTAATTACGCCGGCTAATTGCGAGTAATTAGGAGCGATCAAGAAGCAAACAGTTAATTGGCCGCGAGCTGATAAAACGTCGGTCGAATTCTCGATTACCCGGAAGGGACTCGGCGCAACGATCGCACGAAAAACAGTTTTGCGTAACCGTGAAACCGTAGGCCGAAACACGGGTCGCGACAACGAGAATCGTTCGACGCGTCGTCTCCGAGCGATAAGGAGCGCCTGGACGAACAACTACGTAGCGTTCCTTTAATGCGATTTTAATTATTCTATTTGTCAGCGACGCGCGCACAGGCTCGATGGTTATCGTATAATTTCACGTTGAAAAAAAAAAACACAACGTCGGTCGCGTACACGTCGTAATTGCCCGCGACGATAATTAGGAGTTTATTGGAGTCCTTGTGTCGTCGGTGAGCTGTTGGCAACGATACGAGACTTGTTCCCCGCCAACGGTTCTCTCGTCGAATGTTTAGGTTTGTCGCGTTACAATTAGCTCGACACCACCTGTCCCGGGCACCTGCCACGTTTAACGCCTCCTCCCGCACGTGGCCCTTGCGACGATATGCTTGGAACGGTCCTCGGGCTGGCACGCGAGACGCGGTGTCCGGGAATCTCGACGAAAAAGTCGTAGAAGACAGTCGCTGGTCAGCCGCGACGCGACACAGTAGTCTATGGACGCGAGCGGTCGGAGAACCGCTCGGAGCGCACTCGGTTTCACTGGATCCAGCCGGCCTCCACAAAACTGTTCACCACGATTGTTACTTTGTCCGCGAATCTAGCGAACGGGGTCGTACGCGTGTGTGCGTGTTACTCTCCGTCCACGTGCCGACAGAACGGGTCGGCGCACGCACCTCTACGCTCTGATTCCCTGATCACTTTCGAAATCACACACTGGCCGATCACCGGCGTATCACAAACAACCCCTCCTAGACGACACTTCCAAGCGTCTTCTGCTCGCTGGCCACCGGAGCGTGTCTGCTGGCCCGCCAGCGGGGTCCACCTCCTGGTCAAGTTTTCTCGATTCCCCTGGGGGTACGGCTCCGGCGGGACCGTCGGCCTCCGATGTACGATCCAAGGCGATCGATCGACTTCACTGGTTTACGTATCACGGTCTGATGGATCCCCGGGGGCGGCCTCGTGTCGGTGGCAGCGTGGTGTGCACGTTGCGTGGTCGGAGCTCGGCGCGAAAGCTTGGACCTGAATCCTGACGGTCCGCAGTCTGGCTGCGTAGTGGCTCCGGTGTGGAGTCGAGGGAAGGTGACCCGCCGTGGCTTCTCTCCCGCCTAGCTGCCAGCCAATGCACGGTTCAGCTGGTGGGGGAAACGGGGGCGGTACCGGGGGCGGTGCCAATGCGCGGAGGTGGTCCGCGAGTTACTCGCGAGATCCCGTTGTTATGATTGTTATGAGTGTCCGAGCTGCCTCCTGCGAGGTGCTTTGGGGGTGGAACGCGCGCGAGAGGGACCTCGCGTTTGTCTCCCTTTTTCCATCCTGGCCCTCTCTCCCTCGCACTCTGTAATATAACCACCACAAGCTCGAACGAGCTCGTAACCGTGATGCAAATCAGCCCGACGGGGCTGAAGAGTACTTCGCCGGGGATGCTCGGGAGGAGCGATCGGCGCGAAGGACCGATTTCGCGGCTCTCGAAGGAAGAACACCGGCCCGGACCCGGCGCTCTCCACGATGTGATTTTAAGGGCTGATCAAGCGATCGGGAAGACCTTTCGAGGGCTTCGTTCCGAGCTTCGTTTCTGGGGCTACGAATTCCTAAGCAGGGGGGGCTGATGGCTCCCGACCGTTCGCCGGGCTTCGTTTTTTCTCCTTTGCCAGCCACCGGCTTTCCCTGGACGAGTTTCCATTTGCGACCGAGAACAGCCCTGGAACATCAAAATATTCGAAATAAATTGCTGTTTCGCGGAAAAATGGAGGCTAGATTCGAATTCGGGCACCAGGTCTGCGATAGCACGATCTTTATTCTACTTAGAGATATCTGGGGCAAGCCTGTTATTATACAGACTGACCCGTGGCATGTGGGACCAACTTCAGGACTAGATCCTACGCATGAAAACAATAAAAAAAAGTTCATATAAACCTCCATATCCTCTTATATATTCGACCTTGTTCTCGAGTTATGTCGAGTTTCTTCACCTCCGCAACAAATATTCGAAATGAGCTCCTTACATCTGAACACGGGATGTCTTTGACTGTTTTACCCTCTCCATTTGTCCAGGAATTGTTCGAATTTCATGGAAGCCTTGTACAATTCTTTCGTGTAACATTCCGACGTTACCAACCCTTAAGTGGATAATTGGGGCTGTTGCAAACCTCCGCACGTTTAAAGTAATAATTGTTTAATATATGTAAATGCATTATTTGAAAATTTATGTTATCCTCCATTAGTACATTATTTTTTAAATACTTGAAAGGAAAGTTAATTTCCAATTATCAATTTGATAAAGATCAATTAAACAAACTAACTACAATAAATCAGTTGAGATTGAGAGTCCACTTAAGGTTTAATAAGCAATTTGTATACAATGGATTTCAAATAACCCCAAATATAGTACAACTCGTCACAGTTCGAAAACAAGGTCCAATAGGACGTATGTTGATATGAACTTTTTTTTATTGCTTTTATGTGTAGCAACAAGAACAAACAAGACAAATGTATCTTTCGAAAAAGAAAATATGAATTACTTTTATCACGCATCAAAAATTCTGAAAGATTGCTATTAAATAATTTCATAAAAGAAGTAAAACTTTCTCGAATTCACCGACAAAAATTATTCGTCCCAGATCCGATAGAGACGCGTTTGGTGCGATGATTTTCTGCCTCGAAGTCGCGCGAGTAACCGAAGGGTTAAGGGTTGACCAGACGCCTAACGTTTAACGCGTTGCCGCGTAATTGTAACGAAGATGGATGTCGCTTCAAAGGAGCACACCGAATGCAGATCTTCCCCTACGATAGCGATTACATCTATCGTCGTTGCCCGCAAGTACTCCCTGGCGAACAGACTATACATCAGTCTCCAACCCTAAAGTGGTCGCATTATTACTTAGCGCTCTCCATAGTCTACAATCTTTTTTTTCAAAGCGAAAGGGATTTCCCTTATCCCCTAACCCAAGCACTCTACATCGCCGTTTGTACGTTCGCAAAGAGCGAATAATCACGAACGAAACGCGATGCCCTCGAATTATCCGGCAAACTCTCTGTTCCTTAAGTATGTATCCTATCAATTGCAAGTCACAGATGCACTCCAATTATCTACGTGTCTGGCCGGCCCGGTAGGCCCACGGTCATTAATTTTGATAAATCGTCGTGCACAGAAGTCGGAGTTCGTCGACGTTGATCCACTGTCTCATTTATCTTCAGGGGCGCGATGAACCCCCGGTTGGTAATTGCAACGGTGCGAGCCGATAGCGCGCCATTTTCGTTTTCGTTCTGTCACGGACCGTGATCGGTACTTCGAGCGACGTGCAAGACGAATGGAATCGTTTGATGCCCTTAAGGCCGAGACGACCGGCCGCTGGATACTTTCTAATTACGTTTACTCGCGAATTCGTTTTAATGGGCGCGTTGGAATAGCAACGACAGGATGTTCCGACTCGCTGAACGCGCGGCGAACGCGTTCCTCGCGAACGATATCGAAGGTGCGAACCGATTCGCTTCGTTTCCCTTGCTTGCAGCTTGTAAGATAGCGAATTTGCATGAAGAACGAGCAAATCTAGAAAGAAACACACCGTGAAACGGGTTAAAATTATCTGTACATATTGTTTACTGCGTAAATAGAAAGTTGTAATATTTAGATGTACGAAGAGATTTGTATAATCATGGTGTCACAATGATCGATGATGACATCTTTGATTCTGCTCTGTTTGGAAGTAAAAATATGTATTTTAAAAATCGCAAACTAGAAAGAAAATTTCGAGAAACCGCTTCGATTTAGTAAAGGACATTGGTGTTCGAAAGGTTTTCTTGGCCGAGTAAAAATATTCTAAAACACGGATTCCGTGTAAATAAAACTGCGTGTTTCGTTGCCGAGCAGGGAACGTTTATTAAGTCCAAATTTTACCCCTTTCGAGCGACGAGCCACCCTCGTCGACGCCACTATTACTGTCCGCACCCTCGGTGTTTTAATGTTCTCCCCTCAATTTCTCCAACATCGACCTCGACAATATTCCGTCGTGATTCGACCCTTAGAGGTGTGTCCTCCGCGGCGGATATATTCAGTTTGGTTGAAACATTGGCCGAAGACGCCACTTGTTTACGATCCTCCGGGCGAGCTTCCACCATGGTCGTCACGCAAACTGACAATAAATTATTGCGCATATTTACGCACCTCGTTCTTATCGATCACACCACGCACGGAATCGCTGATTAAGACCCAGAGTCTGTAACGAGGACACTGTGATTTGAATTCAAACTGACAGCGCTGAAAACTTCCAACGCGACGCAATGTTCGAAGGTTCCTTGTCAATTGAACCCTCTGTCCTCCTGAGATGGATTGTATTCGGTACCCAGGCGAGTCTGTGCCAATTGGTTGTAAAGTTTACACGATATTGTTAAGATTGAGTCATGAGAATCATGTAAAGACCGACACGGAAACTTAACTGGGACTGTGTTGAGATCTTGTGAACTTATTTTGAGTGAAAACAAACTTAAAATCTAGGGGTTGATGAGTGTAAACAGATTAAATTGTTTCATAGTAGCAGGGAACAATTAAAAGCGAATATCTTAGGATTTATACTCCGACTATTATACTTCATTATTCGAATATTGAACTATGTGGTAAATTTCAAAATTGTAACTTTTCAAAATAAATATTTGTTCTTGCAGTAAAAAAATTCTCTTTCTGGAGAACGCCTTTTTTTGTTAATTCTTCGTACTTTATTTACTCTACTTTGATTCCTT